TATATGTACAAATTTACAAAGTGTGCGATATACCCACATATATATATACATGTGTATCTCATTTTTCAGCGCCAGAGTACCTTATGATTTCTGTTCTTCGCAATCGCAAACACATCACTTATTTACTAATTCTATTAATTGTCGTATACATCAGCAGCGATTTAAGTGTTTATTTTTACAGCTAGGAGGAGGTGCTTTACATTATGCGATCGCATGCGAATTTTTGATATTTATTGGCGCATTATTCGCATATATATATATTTACATATAACATGTATATTTGTATACAACAGACAGTCGTTATGTGGACACGTATACCAATACTTGCATACGTTTTAAACGAACATGCAACCGACACAACACACACAACGAGACACAATACAGTTATTCACGACTTTAAGTTTCCTTTCTTTGATTTTTTTTTTGTTTTTCTGCAACTGCTGTAGTATTACGCGTGTGCGCTTGTGCAATATAGTAAATTTCTTTTCACGTCTTTTATAGCTGATAACAAAGCGATATTTTATATCGAATTTCTCTCGCAAGGAACGATGCACGCGATGCTACTCGTTCTGTTAATACTGCTTTTCACACTGCTTTTCTCGCGCGTTTTAGAAAAATTTCTGATAGAAGATTTTCAGTAAACGGATTTATGAATAAAAGTGGGATATACGAAGCGCGGGTAACGTAAAGTATGTAATAACATTGTGCATTGCAATTACACATATCCCTGTCAAGTAAGGTTTACGCATACGTGGAACATACATACGAAGAACGTTATTTCTACAGTGACGAATTTAATCATTTGTGCGCGATGGTTCATTTGAAAGACACATTTGAAAGATAATCAGTAATATGATCGATCAGTCTCTCTGTCGAGAATTGATTATAGGAATTCTATCAAGAAGAGTAACTGCGACAAGTTAAAAAGTTTATTTTAGAGCAATTTAATTTATAGAATGCAAGCAAACACAGGAAATTTTTCCAATGATGAAATTGAACTAATTAACTAACTGCTTTCTATATATATATATATATATATCAAATGGAGTAATTAATTAAATCCTGAAATATTTTACTGTTACGTAAATTGCGAGTGCGATGTCGTTTTATGACAGAATATAAATTAAATAATAATAATTTTTTGCACAACTCCAAGATTTCACTCGCGTTTCAAAACGTCGCTCACGTACAAACTAGAGCATATTGCGTTTATTGTGTAATTTTCCTCGGGCGAAAATTCACGAGTGTTACTTGAAATTGATTCTCTCGCGCGGTGTGTGCCACTTGCCGACCGTGCATTGTTAATTAGGAACTCAAAAGGACCATTCGTCGCACCTGTCTCTCACTTTAGTCGCGGTGTCAACTACACTATCTGTCTCGCAACAATTCGCGATACCATATACATATACACCCGCACACACACACACACACACACATACACACATATATACGCACTTATATTCTCTTTCTCTGTAGCTGCCTATACAAGTCACCGTATCTTATGTCTTTGCACGCAGCTCATGTGTGTCGTCTGCATATGTATTGCAGAGAGTATGTATGTATGTGTGTGTGTATATACGTGTGTCTCTCTTTCTCTCTCGTTAACCGTTCACTGTTCTGTATACGTGTGCGTTTCCTAACGAGCTTTCCAGCTTGCCGAAAGCGCGCACTTTAACTCGCGGTTCACACTCGAGCGCCCGAATGCGTGCACTCGAATTAACACGCTCGAACAAGGCAGGCGCGAAAGTAAAGCAAACATAGCGAGCGACACTCCGCACGCGGATGTGACGCTCGTGATGCACTGTTACACTTATTATCCTGCTGGCGCTGCCATTGGAACACAAATGTCCCATGTATGAGCGCGATGCCTGCACATGGAAGTAGATTTATCTGATAATCTGGTAAAAAGAAAAGATTCGATCAGGAAATATATAACTAACGAATAGTGCTCTATACTTAACAACGCAGCTTTAACAATACAACGTAGATTTCAAAATTATAATGTGCATGGTACTCTAGAATGCTCTGAGTCTCACACTTTGAGAGAAGTAGATTTTCATCCTCTCTGACGCTGCAATGATATCTACACTGAGAGAAAAATTGTTGATATTTGTAACTATAATTGTGATATTACTATAATTATGATTATGACTACTATGGTATTAATAATAATAACCATATGTATAGCTGACAACCGAAATGACTATAATTATAAAAATGGTTGAATTATCATAAAAAACGATGCAAATAACTATAATTATATAGTCATAGTTAAAAGACAACTATATTAATATTATGGTTATCTCAAAATATAGTTATTATTACTAATACTACAGCAATCATAATCATAATTATATAATTACAGTAATATGTAATTATAGTTACAAAAATTATTCTCTCAGTGCAGAAATTATTGATTATTTAATATTGCATCAACGAATATTTTTTTAATTTTATGTTATCGCAAAATATTTTTTGGATTGATACTTTTTTCCCTAATAATCTTCGCAATTACTTAAATTTTAAGAAGAATCTGTCAAGTACCATTCGAGGTTTTATTCAACTTCCTACTTCTCTCGACGAGAGGTTCGGCGAAAATACACAGGGAATGGTACGTGACATGCATGTGCAGTTTCCTTTAACACATGCGTATATTAACCCGATTGATAATATACCGGAGGATGCTCGTGGAGGCATTTATTATTACCCCTTGTCCTCCCCGATCGCCATCCAAACCCCGTGTCCTTCGACCTTATTGGGCGGGGCGAGGGTGCACCGAGTAACGGCGTGCTACGCCTCTTTGACAGATTTGAACACGGTATTTTAGCTCCATTAGTAGAGAGTAGAGTGATCTAATTTCTCCCTTTTCTGGGCGTTGGTAAGCACCAGTGTGTCTCGAAATTAACCCGGTAATATGAGTCGACTGGCCGTGTCGCGAACCCTTCGTCCACTCCTGGCAAAAAGTACTCGTGTTTTCACAGTAGAGAATAATTCTTATGAGCGTTACGTCGGATATATACGTATCTGTGAGCAAATAGTTTTACATTTGTATCGTAAACCGTTTTTCGTTGACGGTATCCTTTTCATTAAAATAAAAGGCACATAGATAATCAATTGAGACGCGATACAAAATCTCGAAGCTAATTGAAAAGTGTCAGAAAGCATCTATGATAACGTACCAACGGCCAGAAAAAAGAAAGAATTATATAACCGATAGAAAGGAATGTCAGGTTGGCTCTTTTTAACGCCTCCCCCGAAACAGACCCGAAGTCCACAAACGGAACGCTCTTTCGCATTACTCGATCCAATTGCTAGCTACACGTTATTACTCTCTCACTCTCATTTCTTTCAATACTCTCTTTCTCTCTCTCTCTCTCTCTCTCTCTCTTTTTCTATGTTTCTTTATCCACCCTACCTTCTCTTCAGTTTCTCTCCTCTTTATGCATATTTTATTGCCTCATTGTATACATCCATCTTGTGTAAAAAGAACGACGTAGTCCCGCCTGTACATTTCGCCAGGTTCGGCACGAGCTCTGTGGCTGCCAAACACACTAAAAAGCCTAGTCAGTAGTCTTTATGCGGCCAGGTATCAACTGTGGATACACGTTATTAAAATTCTATCTTGTATACGTTATAATTAGTCTCGCGAAAATTAAATTTATAATAGACCATACCTCTATCTTTTGCAAGAATTATTTAGTTTATATATGGCGTAAATCAGTTTTTAGAATTTATTTAATGTAAGCATGTACATAGTAAGCATGTACGTAATTCATCTATTTTAGCAACTATTTTAGGATTTTATTTAAATTGCTCTTAAAATAGACTGTTCAACTAATTTATATACAAACTCACGCGATGAATAAGAATGCGCGACGATGTAAAGGATCTCGTTTGCTTAATAAATTAACGCTCTGTGCCAGTAAAGTTAATCCGCGACAAGAGGATTTTTTTTTTTTTTTTTTACATGGAGACCACAGCTTTTAAGAGCGCCGTAAAATTACGATGCAGTGACGCTTTGAAGTTGTTTACTTTACCAACCAGTGATTAATTGACTTTTTGCGTGTTCGCATGTTCCGCAACGTGTATCCACGGTCAATGCTCGTCCTCGCCAAAGTAGAAAAATCCCACTCCGTAACGCGCCAATGTTCCTCAGTGTATCTGCTGTTCACAAAAATCTCAACTTCCTGTTCAATATCGGCTATTGTCCTATTCGAGTCGGTCCGGAATTCCTTTCATACGATTCTTTACGAAGTTTTTCCGTCAAGTGCATCGTATCGCCATATCGATAAGAAAACTTATGTCGATCGCAACACTGGCGATAGATCTACAATGTATTTTGCTGCTTCCGAATGATTATAATCTGATGCACTTATTTTCGAACATGATTCTATAAATTATTATACGGGCATTTGACTTTCAGGTACCTCCGTTTATATTTCGAGGAATATATTTAAACGAACTATTTAAACGAAAATCTATTTTTTTTTTATCATCAAACACGTGTAGAAAATTAAAAATTTTATTATCAATATAGGAACACGTCATAAAACGTAAGATTCTTTCAAATGTTTATTACAAATCAATAAGATATTCGCACTTATGATATTACGATGTCACGATACCATATCATCGTTCTTTCATCACTAAGAAATAACCAAGAGGATCATCCGTTTCATTTTCTCTTTTTCCTTCTATGTATATATCCATCTGTCTTATCCATCTAGCTCCAAGCAACCATCGAACAGTGTGACATGCGATCGTAATCGGAGGAGAACCAGCGACCGTTTGAACAATCGCCTCACCCATTATCCTGAGCTGCCCTCTCCCTTATGACCGTATGACCCTCTCTCTCTCTCTATCTCTCTCTCTCTCTTTCTCTCTCTCTGACTTTTGTGCCCCGGCCCTGCCAAGCCAGCCAGCCCCTAGCCTATAGCCCCTAAACCCCTTTTGCCCACATAGATAGAGTGCCATGCCATGCGTGTTCGCTCTTGCTGTAGGTATGTCGCGAGTTTCAACGCGGGGCGTGCAAACGCGGCGAGACGGAGTGCCGGTTTGCGCACCCCCTCGAGACGGTGCAGGCGAACGAGGACGGCTCTGTGACGGTCTGCATGGACGCTGTCAAGGGCCGATGCAATCGGGACCCCTGCCGCTATTTCCACCCCCCTCTGCACCTTCAAGCCCACATTAAGGCCGCACAATCTCGGGCTAGCATTGCGGTAATGCATTCTCTCTCTCTTTCTCTCTATCTATCTCTCTTTCTCTTTTTTTTTTATTTTTCTACCTTTTTCTTTTTTTTTTCTTTTATTTCTCACATTTTCTTCCTCTTTCTTGATACATTAATTCTCACGACTATTCACATTTCTTTTTTATTATTCCCAATTCTTGTTTATTTTTCTTATTTTTGTTTGCGCTTTTGTTCTGTCCTTTCCAAATATTTCTTTTAATTTGACGACTATTTTGAGCCCAACATTTTCCTCTTAACGAAGTCCATACTATTTGCCTCTTAGATCCTCTTTAGGCGACACAGAGGATTTCCTTGTTTTTTTCTTTATCACACATCCAAATTGTCCGTTTCTCTTTTTATTTCTTCATCTTAATTGTCGGTGAATTGCGACAGAAATTTATTTTATTGTTGAATAAAAACGTAACAAATAAAAGTAAGCTGTCAATTTAATATAATTCAAGAAAATATTTCATGATGTCGTATAGTTTCTGGCGTCAAAACACCGATACTATATTCAGTGTCAGCGATTGTCCCATTAAACACAATATCCGCATGAATATAAATGGTTTTATAAGGGCTTCTAGTTTTTGTGACGGAATTTATTTTACGAAAACGTTGACAGGGAAACGTTATTTAGATTCATACATTATATGTTGACATAGAAAAAATGAAAATATAGTATGTATGAAAAAAAGTCGTTTTTATAAAAATTTTTTCCTCGGTATAGTTCTGTTACAAGATTAAACATAAAAATTCTTCATGTTAATGGGTCAACCGTGAACACTAATAATCTTTTTTTCCTTTCTACTTTCTTCTTTTTCTGCCTTTCTGCCTCTTTCCAGCCTCGACCTCGCAGATCGTTCCATGTGGCGTGTGCTTCATGCAAGTGTGTCGTCTCTTTTTTCATTTTTTTTTTTTAATTATCTTTCCGCTGGAAATTGGTCGATGTCAAAAAGGGTAAAGTAATGCCCGATGCTCTATCCTTTTCATTGTTGGGCTGCGATAACAAAGTACAGTGGTGTTGATGTCGCTTGTCGTGAAAGAAAAGTGACGGAGATGTGTATCGCGGTTTCACTGTTGTTGCAATGCATTTTTATCATTAAGAAAAATTATTAAATCTATACCGTAAAGTGTGAATGCTTTGTGACTCAAAATGATGTAATGGATTATCCTATTCATTTTTGAGAGAGAAAGAATATAAATTAATTAAATATTATGTGTAGAACATGATACAAATGTAATTACATATCGATTCAGTATATATTGTATCTAAAGATACATAACTATTGATTATCGGAAAGGAATGAATTAATTTAAATTTTATCAAATACGTTTCATCCTTATTATCTCGTTATTTGCGATTGGTTAAAAATATTACATTACATTAAATTTAGCTTTAATATTACAAACGAGATGAATTCGCAATCACAAGTATTCCGCACTTTAAGAAATAATCGGAAATTATAAATGCTAAAAAAAGAAAAATACATCGCGCTTTTGCCTAACAAGCTTGGAAAAAATTGCTCTATTTTTTTCTTTTTCTTTTTTATTCGTACATAATTTCTGATCACTTTACCTTGATAAAAATTTCATGCATTTTTTTTAATTATTACTGAATAATTAACTCTGTTTATAGTAACTGAGAAGTAAAACTATTTGGATTTCAATCTAAATATGACGCTTTGCTAGCAGCTATTGTACACAAAAGACCTGCAAAATCTGAATCCATCTACAGATTAATAATAATAATGATAAATGAAATAATAATAAAAATAGGATAGTAAATCGATTATGCTATTTTAACTAATAATAATCTATTAATACTAGACAATGACTGGATAAATATTTACGTAAATTGCATATTATTTTTATCAGGAAAATACTTCAACTACTGAATAAAACTCTATCAAATTCTTGTTTATTTCCTACGTAGTACTTTAGTTATAACGTAACGAGAATACAGTAATACTAGACAGTATAATTGAATGGGTTTAAGAAAAATGCATATATTTTTACCAGGGTAGCTCCATTTATACTCTCACATTGTTATATAATCTCCACTTTCTTTCTATCTCCTGTATATGGCTTGATTACAATTATATAACGGTCCCACTGTACTTTTTTCAATCAAAAATACGGCTGAACGGACGAAAATTCAAAAATTTCGAGAAATCGAACGGATAGAGGAGAATATCGATACGCTTTGCGCGATACTCTCGGAAAGTCTTTTGTGTAGGCTAAGGATGTCGCCCGCGAAGAACAAAAGACTCGAAGTGCACGCATGTTCCCCTCGACCGCACATTGTTCCCTTGTCCTTTTCAACCTTTGTTTTCTTCCTATCTCGTTTCTCCTATACCCCTGAAAGCGTAGTTCCTTTTCTCTTACTCTTAGTCTCACAAGTTTTCTCTCTCTCTCTCTCTCTCTCTCTTTTTCTCTCTCTCTTTTCTTTCATGTTTATCGTCACTCTCCCTTTCAGTTTCCTAGTTTTGCGTCAAAAGAAGCTTTTCGTTGCTGCGCTGCTTTTCGCCAATCTACGTCGAGTATGTACATCGCCGGGTCTTCTTCTTTGATAGCAATAGTCCCTTTACGTGCTTCACACACTATTGAACACGTATTGAGTTTTACATAATGCCGATTTATATCACGAATGTATTTATACACACGATGTCATCGCGCGCGAAGGCAGATTAAGACGGAGGAATAATATTGGCCAATTGTTGCGCAGTGTTAGAATTATATGATAGTTGTGCTAGGAGTACGAAACGATGAATCTTTGTCATTTAATAACATCTGTCATGCAAATATTACATTTGTGGATTGTTAATTAAACTTATCACGATACTAAAATGATGATACATATGATATTATACAAAACAAATATTTTTTCCTTACTTATATATAATTCATAATAATATATTTTTGCTTCACGCATTTATCTAATTAGTTTACATTTTAGTTTTATAAACAAAAGATGCGTGATATCGTCTCTTATATAACTATCATATACAGATGTTTATTTCGACATCTTTTTCCTTACCTCTGAATTTTTCCAGTTATTTCCCGATCTTCTTATAATGTAATTACTTTCTTTTATTATTACTTGATTTTCTCCCAACAATCGTATAGTTCTCGTCCCATGTTTGTCGCTTTTGTGTTCGTCCATATTTTACATATCCTGTATGATGTTCAGCCGTTTCTGTAGTGTGTAGTGAGTAGTACACGAGGCAAAATTCTTGTTAACATCACCAAAACACCACTGTTCTATTTCTCTCTTTCTAGCAGCCTATCGCAGCTATCCAGGTGCAAAGAACTAGTTGCAATACACCAATCACCTGTTCGGTACTTAGGTCATAATAATTACAAATACTTTTGCAGCTGTGTGCACGTTCCATTTCCTTCCGATATAAAAAAAACACTATTAAATATTTGTTTTTGTATTATTGGTACATTGATATTTCATCTATCCAAGTGAACATACACATTAATATATTGTAGCATTTTAAATTGGCCAATATAACTAGATAATCATATAAGTAATGAGAAATGATTGTATAAAATTATACAATTTGTATCAAGTCTTATAATGTTCAATGAATTTATTAATGCAACATTCATATACGAACCATGTATTGTTTATATGCGCATTAATGGAGGAATTTTTGGATCCAATTGGATTGAAATGAGGAAAAAATGAGGAAATGGAAATGGAACGTGATCACGTTCTTGTAAATAAGATGTAGTTGAGAAAAAATATCTCTTACGAATGACACGTACACCACCCTGCTGACAAGCTGTGCTGCACGAAACCCGGCTATCAACCCCGCTGCTGTTTTTGCTGCCCCACACAAAAACGCTACACTAAGAGTCCCCGAAAGATACATAGAAAACGAAAAAAAAAAAAAAAAAAACCAGTAGAAGGAACGAACAGATACGACGGGTTTGTTGGGAGGTGTGTGGGCCAGGCGATAAAATATCTTTGTCCACTTCCGTTGTCAAATCTGTCTCTTAATTATCGCATTCGCGCGCGATCGCGATAACGTTAGCATCAAGCACGAGAAGATTGTGTAATTTTCGCAGTCACGGAATGACATGAAGAATTGTTAGTGACGTACTCGCTCTTTCGATTCATTCAATTAAGCAGGATCTAAATTAGAAGATCGTTCCTCCGTCGTTGTCCTTCAACCGATTTTGACCTGGAAATACGTCTCTTTCGTTGTCGTTTATATTATAGCATTATTATTTCAATTAAAAGGAGAATTATTCGTATCCTTGAAAATTGGGTCGGAGATTAACGATTTGACTAACGAGTTCAATCACGGTTAATGAACGAATAATTGGTTGGATCAGGATTATTTGCAAACGTGTTTAGTGCAAAGTGCAACTGGACGACGACCGTTCCGAAGTCATTTCGTATTTGTAAACAGCGCGGGGTGGACATACCCCGTTTCCTGCAGACTCAATCATCGTGTTTTCAATCCGTGAACTTGTCTCCGGGACACGATCGTGTTCATTATCTGGGGGAAAAAAAACAGTCCGAAAAGCTAAGTAACGGCTAGAGAAAAATAAAAGCTGGAGTAAAAGAGAGAGAGAAAGAGCGAGAAAGACTTTCAGCGACGTCGCGCGGAAGATCTGCAGCCACACCCGGACACAATGGAGGAAAAGTCTCACATGGATGATTGCGGCAGACCAGCTTGTTGGCAGGGAAGTCTCATTCTCTAAAAGTGGTTTTCAATTTCCCAAGGGTGCATACCGCGTACCGACGGAATCACCTCCGTCCGAATTTGCCTCAGGGGTTACGGACCGACGTGAATCTTTTAGAAAACGAAACACGACCACGATACGGGGGGGGGGGGGGGGAATGTTTGTTTTACCAGTTCTCTCAGTTTTATTCCCTTTTTCAGATGGCCCATCGATGGTTCGACGTCTCGTGAGAAAATTTAAACTGCAGATTTTGTTTCTAGTTTTTAAATTCGGTAAAGTTTCCACATATCC